AGGTCTTTGTAGTTTATGTTAGACCTGTCACATAGCCTAAGGAAGGAGATAGTTCCACGGATCCAACCATTGCCAAGCTGCTGGAGGAATTCAAAGATCTAGCTGAGTCGCCGACAGGAGTAGTGCCGCAACCCATCCAGCACATGATAGAGATAGAGCTTGGCAGTAAAACTCCTAAGGGAGCAGTCTACAGGATGTCCCATAGAGAGTTAGAGGAGCTACGCAAACAATTAGACAAGCTCCTCGAGAAGGGTTGGATCATGCCCAGTTCGTCTCCTTTCGGAGCACCAGTCTTGTTGAACCGCTGCCCAAGATAAACAATCTTCTAGATCGGGTGCAGGGTTGTAAGTATTTCTCTAAGATAAATTTAAAGTCCGGTTATCATCATATAGAAGTCCATCCTGATGACCAGTACAAGACTGCGTTCCAGACTAGATATGGGCACTATGAGTTTATAGGGATGCCCTTTGGACTGACTCATGCACCAGGGACGTTTCAGCGATGTATGAACGATCTATTTAGGCCGTGGTTAGACAAGTTTGTAGTAGTTTATTTAGATGATATCTTAGTTTTCAGCAAGACCCTCCAGGAGCACCAGGGTCATCTGAGATAGGTCTTGGAGAAATTGAGGGAGTCAAACTTCAAGATCAATGCGAAGAAGTGCGAGTCGGCCAAGACACAAGTACTGTACTTAGGCCACGTGTTGGACGGAGATGGCATTAAGCCAGAGAACAACAAAATAACGGCAATTAGAGACTGGCTGACGCCCCGCACATTGACAGAATTGCAGTCGTTTTTACGCCTAGCTAACTACTATAGGAAGTTCGTAAGAAACTTATCTACTATCGCCGCTCCCTTGCGCAGGTTGCTTAAGAAAGAGGCAATCCGGCAATGGGATAGAGATTGTACGTCTGCGCTCAAGAAGTTAAAGCGCGCGTTAATAGAGTACCCTGTCCTCAAAGTAGTAGATCCGTCTTTGCCATTTGTCGTCACCACGGACGCGAGTCAGTATGGAATAGGCGCCATGTTGCAGCAAGACGACGACAACGGCTATATAGACCCGTAGAGTTCATGTCAGCGAGGTTGCCCTCAGAGAAGGTTGCCACCTCGACGTACGAGAGAGAACTCCACGCTCTCAGACAGGCTCTAGAGCACTGGAAGCATTACCTGCTTGGGAGGCACCTCAAAGTGTATTGTGACTATGAGACGCTTAGATGGTTAAAGACTTCGGCCAAGATGACACCTAAGTTGACTAGGTGGGCCGCGGAGATAGACCAGTATGACTTTGAGCTCAAGCCAGTGAAGGGCAAGTACAACGTAGTTGCAGATGCTCTGAGTAGGAAATCAGACTACTTTGGAGCCATAGCACACTATCTGGATATAGGGAGAGACCTGCAGGAGAAAGTGAGGCAAGCGTATGCGCAGGACCCTATCTCAGTTGTCCCCCACGACAACTGACCGGTTGCGTCAGGAGCCCTTCTGGAGGGAAAGGGGCGGGTCACATACACACACACACACACACACACACACACACACACACACACATACAGGGTTCAAGGGAAGGTCAGGGATGGATCCTCTACCAAGACTGGAAGGCGGGAAGGAAGGAGAAAGGAGAGAGGGAGGTACATTCAAAGGAGGGGCGACGAGCTCAATAGGAACAAGGATTTTTGGGACCATGACAGTGAGGGCGCAAGTAGGGTTAGCGGTCTGATTCCAGTGTCGAAGAGATGAACAAAAGGGAAGCGCCGGAGCGGGAGTGCCGAGGGTCTGTAGCTGGGATAGGGAATAGCCCGCCGGTTGGGTGCAGGTGCTTGGTCCCCCACCACCACCTTCCCCTGCTTTGGTGTCCCCTGGTTCCTCCGCTTCTTCTCCCGTTTTCTTGTCCTTTCTCCTTTTTTCATGATTTTGGGTAGGCCTTTCCCCTGGTGTTACCTTTACACATTTTTTTCCTGTTTTTCCTGTCTTTCATTGTTTTCCTCCAATTGATTCATGTGCCCCGTTAATACCAACGACCGAAGGATGCGAAAAAAAAGGGACCTTGATCCCTGGACCAATGAAGAATAATGACATAGGAGTAAAGTAAAAGGGGACTGGGTGAGCAAGTTGTTCGGACAGGTGCATTCATAAGTAAGATTCTTATAGCTAGGTTCGGACGCTGGCCCCGTGTTTTGTTTCCTTTCTCCCTTTTTTTTTTTATGTTTCTCTCTTTTTCTCTCTTGTTTTCTCTTTCCTTTTTCTTTTTCATTTCCCCTCTCCCCCCCCATTCTTTTCTTTCTTTTTTTGTTCCCCCCTTGTTTCTTCTGTTTTCCTTTTTTCCTTTTTTTGTAGGGGTCCTTTTTTGTTGTTTTGATGGTACCAAGGGAATAAGGCGCCAAGCGCTGCGCACGCTTAAGTGAAATTTTTGAATAAACTAGCAACCGCGGTACTCCGAAATAAGCTCGGATTGTGATGACCGTGGGCAGCCTTCACATAGAGTGTGACACGACCAAGGGTAGCATAATGCAATTGATGGGTTGTGTAGCGGCACGGTAAGGTAACAGGATTCATCAAAGGCTAGGGCACGGGTTCCTACGGCGTTTTTTATGCGCGGAAGGGGCATCATCTGCGGCATGGATTTCTTCGTAGATCTGCACCAGGCGGAGGACTGCATCGAGTCGGATGAAGTGGTATAGCATTGACGAGTTATGGCACCTGTCACGATCGAACCGTTGTCCCTTGTAGCACTTATTTCCTTCCTTGCCCTTTGTCTTGCGCTGATACCAAATATAGTATTGGCCAGCCTGGTACTATTCGTTTGCCAATGGGAGATTGTGCTTCTAGCGCCCACGCCTACGTGGCACCCTCGGCCTCGGATCCTGCGGCCTAGGATGTCGGCCTAGGCCGCTCGACTGAGTTGGTGTCCCCCGCCAGAAACAACTAAGAAAAAAAAAAGCGAAATGTTGGGGGGGGTCGCTACAAATCCCCCGCGGCCGCGGCCGAGGGGAGAGGGGGGTGGGGAAGGGGGTTGCGGATTGGGGTTCCGGAACCCCGCCCCCACCCCCTTGAACAAAAAAAAGTTAAAAAAAATTATATTTTCGAGGAGGTCGTTTTTGGTGTGTAAAAAAAAAACATAAAAAAATAGATTTTTTTTTTTTTTATTGATTGATAGATTGATAGATTGATTGATTGATTGATTGATTGATTGATTGATTGGTTCATTGATTGATTGATTGATTGATTGATGGGTTGATTGATTGATTGATTGGTTGATTTATTGATTGGTTGATTGATTGATTGATTGATTGATTGATTGATTGGTGGGGGAGGGGTCCTCCCTCCCCTCCCCCCGGCACACGCACTCGCACACATGCATACACACGCACACACATGCACACACACGCACACACACACACACACACACACACGCCCACACACATACACACACGCGCACACACATACACACGCGCGCACACACACAC